TGTCAGTCAACCAAGTTATGTTTTTCAAAAAAGACACTGGCCGTGATTCTCAGCGCTGAGGATACCTAATAGTATTGTTATGCAATTGGAGAACACTGGGCAGCTGAAACCTTTCATGACCTTATTCTGGGGGTATATCCAAAGTTCTCACTCAATTCGGATACAAAAACACTTGCCTGCACAAAAGTTCCCAACCCAAATCCCAAAAGAAAATTGCCCCCAAAAAATTTATTAATATTATTACGTTAATTACGTGACAAATTGGTTAGTAACCTGTATAAAATAAAAACCCTGCACGCGATGAATTCGACTACCAAAAAGACGGAGAAATTTATTTCGTATAGTGTCATTTCATTATTGAAACAAGATCTGCTTGTAATTGGTTGGTAGAATAGCATTTTCTTTTTCCCACTATCATGTAGAATGCTAAATATTACTATTACCTGATGAATTCTGGCTATTGATAATATTACAACTAGTAGGTCTTATTGTTAAGAAACATGTCTTGGTATGAAGGAAATCATATGTTGAGTCCTTCGTTTCTTTTGCAAATGCAAACTACTACTACGTATGTACAATGAAAAATGTCGCTTCAGATTTATATTATTGGCTGTCCTGATATTAAATGTGTGGTGCTACATTCTGATTTGCTGATCTTGATCTGGGGAAAAACTTTGCCCAATACTGAAACGTTTGTTTCTAATCCTTCTTATTTACCCAACTACTTATACATTGATATGCAGTCTGCGCGTTTTGTTGGGAGCGAATTCGGTGAGTGTTTTGAGGTTATTCTTGAAAGATTCATTATTTAATGACGAGCTATCCGCAAATGATCACATGATTACATAATACGATAAAAAGTTCTGCAATTCAGAAACATCAATTATAATGACTTCTTATGTCAGCGCAATATCAGTTGTTGACTCGTGTTTATTTTTAATTTAACAGGTCGAGGCCCTTCTATTATTGATTATTCACGAATTCTTTTTCTTCCATCCTTGTGGGTTCAATCCCTTTGATTCAAAGACAACAACAAGTTCGCTCAATAAATCGTTACAGAATTTATCAACGGGAAGATCCTTCACATATAGGAATAATTCGTTAATGTTGACTATGTTCTCCGCAAGCCAATCGATTCTTGATACTTACATTTGCATCGTATCCAAACGGATTCTCAATCTCTTTTCCAATTGCATCAACACCAAAGAATGTAAATGCAGCAATTGCAGTGATAGGAATGCAATACCAACCAGTCTGGGTGTACAATTGGGGAGGTAATGAAACACAATATAATGTGACCATTTGCTGTAAAAATTTGAGAAGTTTTTTATCCGAGTGAGTTGGCGTTTATACATATATAAAATTTCCATTCTACTAATACACTGTGATGCCGTAAGTAAGCCGCTCGCGTGATGCGCAATTTTCCACTAGATTTCGAGTTTGAAAAACTCGAAATTAGTGGTGGGTGCTATTCACAGCAGTATACCATAATTTCAGTCAATAATATCATGTATTACCCTCAAATGTATCATGAATGCGAGTGGAATTGGAGTGGTCAGAATTCTCTCGAACGATGATAATTGTTCAGTCATAGAATGAGTTAATGCGCTCAAATGATTAAATATGCCATGATCCAATCTGCCGTGATGTTTAAACATGCTGGAGTAAGTGAACAAGAGAGTGAGAATTTCCAATGGCAAATTATCAACAAATTTATTCGTGTCGCGTCTTCCTCTCCTTTCTTTGTCAACTCTTCCATTCCGACGCTTCTCAATAACCGCAAGATATCCCTGTGGTAAGCGATCGGTGAGATCTGAATATTGATACCCATCCTCCCCACGAAGATGATACTTGATGGCAAAAGCAAAAGCCACAAGGAGATTCATTGCATCGATAACGTCGTCATCATCAACTCCATCGGCTTCACGCTCAACACTATACCAAAGCACTCGGGAAAAACTTCGGATATTGCCAGTGAGCGAACTCCATAGCTTACGACCTGTGTATGAAGCCACGATTATAAATAATCTAATAACTTTTCTGAATATCACCTTAATTTACCATTCACTCTCTACTAACCTTCCCACCATCTGTCATAGCTACTGTTAGCCCTAAGACTCACCAACAATCCAGTTACAATAGTTAATATTGGCACCAATGATACATGTAACAGCGGTGCTAGCCCCACGCTTGCAAAGAACACGAATACTGTTGAATATGCTGCAAAAATTACAACAGGAACAAGCACCCTAGGAAACACTGAGCCTCTGAAATAGAGGAATAGTGGGCGCTTCTTAAAGGCATCCTGGAAATAAAATGTAAATGAAGAATCAATAGACATTTTTTATAAAGTTGTGGAATGTAAGGGTCCTTACATATTTGTACGACTAGATGTTATTCCATACTAGTGCCCTATGTCCGGCGGTACATATTGTGTAGACTCGAATTAAAACGTAAGACCAGTCGTATCCGATAGGACTAGAGGCCCAAGATGTTCGGTTGCTGCTAGCCCCAATACTAATGCTATTCCAACCATGTGTGGAAGAAATGGGGATATCATAAATCAATTGTTGTCTCTTGATAATGATGTAACGTATAATGCATCTGTTCCGTTAAAGAGTAGCAAGAATAAAATCGTTAATTGTCCTTGCAATATTGATATGATCGGGTAAGGCTACTATTAAAAAGGTGTCAGAAGTGGTATATGGGAATGGTACCACTTATTGAGGTACAATCTCTTATCCAGTTCAGATAATAATTAATAACTGGCCTTTGTCGGCAATAATAAAAAAGATTCGTAATCATTCTATTTTATCAATAAATGCCGTATCGGTATAGAACATTAATTATGACCATCGTTCTCGTTAGCTTTTTTTTGATACTCAAATAGAAGAACATAAGGAAAAGTAAAGTTAACGTAAAAGCTTCTTGCGACCATCAACAAAGGATCGTTCCTCATAGTCTTCGAATTTGACACTGTGAACGCGATAGGCTAAACATGAGGGTTCTTCTCATCATCGCTTCATTATGGGCCTGTATGTATTAGCCACTGCGCATATGACTCGCCACACATGTCTAGACGATACCACGTATTTTTTCTAAGATTCAGGAAGCATAGCCTACCAAACGCGGAGTACTTAGCGTTTAGCCAAGCATTACTTATACCCTTTCTTAGTTCAGTGTATGAGATAATAACTCTTCACAAGGCGTTTTGAGCGATAATCCTATCACAACGGTAACTCGTCAAATCGTCATACTGTCAGAGGCTATGGTTCAGTGAATTAGATAGTAATACTAATTATAATTATAAACACTCTCAATTGTCAATTGAGGAGATAACTGTCGAATAAGAGAAATTTCCACTACCAAGCATGAGCCATTATAGGTAGAATATTTTATCCAACCGTTATATCTGTGCGCTTACAAAGCGACACGTACATTTTTCATACATACTAATATAGGGACAATATAACAAACGTGAATAAAAAATAAAAACAAAGACAAAAAAAACAACGAATGATATATTTATATAAAGAAATATAAAAAAAAATTACAGATGCAGTGGTTAGTACGGGTTGGATTCATTTATCGATAATTTTTTGTTCAGAACGAGAGTTAGAAACTCAAAACATGAACAGACTTGCTTTTGCAAGCCGGGACAACCTGCGCGTTTACGCTTCTGAGAACTAATTTCTAACTATCGCATTGAATTAATGTCCAATAATAAATTAAATTGTAAGCATTAATATTAAATTCGAAATGTTCATTTTTTGTAAATACAAAAGTACTAGAGTGATTGCATGGAGGAAGATACTCGGTCTCAAACCCATTAATGAGCGTAATCTATTTCTTTGGGGCCAAATTTAACCTTTTTACTATTCCTATTATTAACAATATTATCACTGTCATCTATTTCTTTACTTTCATTTTGTCATATTATAGTTTACGTTTTCTTCTTTTCTTTGCATTAGAAATTTTTTATCGCAGAAGCAACAAGTGTCTTCCCTTTGGCAAGTAACTTATAATTTTCAAACGCCATTTGTTAAACAAAAATTTTGGAATGTTTATAATCGTCTCAGAAGTTTCAATATCCGACGAATAAATTTTGTTTGCCGCCGACAGTTTTGTTATTTGTTGTAACTTTAATGTATTAATTAAGGCACCCGTACTGGGGAGTTGGCCATTATAAATTATAGAACCAAGAATAAAGTCAATTAATACAAGCAAGAGACTTGGGAATATGGTTTTGTCAAAATTTAATTCAGTTGCAAATTGTTGAAAAAATATTTCCAAGCAAAAAGTTTGCTGACATATTTTGATGGCTCAACTGAAAGCAATGAATGGCGGGGAAATAACTGCCAGCGACGTCTTAAAAAGAAAACGCGTACTAATAAGCAATATGTCTCTTTGTCAGAAAACGTATGGTAACCATTGACATAACTGCTGCTATTGCCGTGAAGAATTTTAGAATTATGCTGAAATCATGGACTACCAAGTCCTGGTAGAAACGTCAACTGAATTACTCAATTGCTTGTATTTTTACCAGCAGAAACGAGTTATAAGTATAAATTTAAAAATGTTGCTTGTCCATGACCAATTTATACTGACATTAATAGAATAAAATGCCCTCCATTGCTCTGTCGCTCATCAATATTAAAGCAGCTTTGGATGAGTTTGTCCCGAGTGGTTTGTGAGATGTTGCCTAGTCTAATTTCCTGCATCTAATGGAAGAAAAAACATAGAGCAAGCTTGAAACTGGGTTTTATCTCTTTTTTTTTAGTTCTCGTTCTTGAAGTTTTACATGTAGAAGTCTTTTTATAAGACAACATGTTACTTTTACATCAAATGTTGTTCGTAAGACTAAATTTACATTTACACACTTCATGTTATTATTATGCAGATCTAAATATTTATACAGTATGTGGCTTGTATATGCAACCCCTGTCGTGGCGTACCTCGTTATTATACATCATAAGTCCCATTCTAATAAGTAAAGCCCGATGTCTACTCAATCGAGTTCTCAAATTGGTGCCTCATCTATTAATCTTCCATCGTTAAAGCTCATTCCCGTAGAACAGTCCGAAGAAAGCAGTAAACATTTAGGTCATGGTCAATGGCTGGAATTAGATGAAATCGAATATATTGTTCCTCATACGAACGAAAGGAAAGGTTGGGAAGTATGTAGACGCAAGAAACGCTCGAAACCTACTTCTGATGCTGTCGATGGTAATTAGTGTATCGCCTTGTACTCGGACAGATTATCAATGCAATTATCATTGACACAATAATACTGTTTGATTAGCGGTCGACCTACATGCGATTATTCATTCTTCGGCGTCTCCTCCCACTATAGTACTAGTCGTTCAATACCGACCTCCCATAAATTGCTACTGTGTTGAGTTTCCATCAGGTACAAGAACTCGTCGTTCACATATCTAACACTTTTAATTCAGTCGAAATATTTATTGCTGATTAGTTGTACTAAGGCTTGATCGATCCCGACGAGACTGTGGAACAAGCAGCACTCAGGGAACTTCGAGAAGAGACAGGATACACTGGAATAGTCAAAAGTGTTTCAGACGCCGTCTGTTATGAACCGGGCTTAACGGATTCCAAAACCAAAGTTGTGACTGTGGAAGTGCGTGGGCTACTTAATTGCCTTTTTATATGTTACATAACGTATGAATTCTGATGAGCATTCATTTTCTCAGATAATCAAGTCATCATCGCCAGGGGAGAATGAACTACAAGAATTGGATGATGACGAATGGAGTTTACATGTTATTCAAGTTCCACTGAATAATTTATTTTCCACGCTAACAGGTGATAACGTAAATTGGTATGGCATGGTACATATACTTGGTTATTGACTGGTCCTCTATTCAAATAGAGTTGAAGGCTCGGAATCCCTCAACTCTTTCAATCGATAGTAGACTGTATGCCTACGCACTTGGATTACATACTGCAAGCACACTTCTTTCACCCAGCCAATAGCTGTTACTTTTCGGTATCTAAAATTTCGTCTTTTTCATGAAATCCTAAATTCTTCCATTCATCTTTCGCCATTAAACCTCTACGATAGATATCGAACTTATTCATAAATAAATGGGAATAAGGAAGAACGGAACATAAAGTAAATCGTATACCTCTGCATGCGACATTTTAGATAAGCTTTCGATAAGTGTCTACAGACACCATTATTGGCATTCTTCTGTTTGAGACACTGAAGATATTCTTTGACTATTTGCTGGCATTCTCCTAATAGCAAAAATATGTTTGTGGGTCACATATAATAAAGCATCATAAGTGAATTTTATTGTTTTTCAAACGAAGCTGACCTTCGTGATCTAGTGGAAAACTTCCTCGTTCAGGTGGGGTAGGGACGAAGGTGGTGGTGTTTGGAGGTCGTCCAAAAGACATTATAATTATATAGGCGTGTCAGTAGTGTTTAACATCAGCTCATCCCATCGTGACACAATTCCTCCACGTGGGAACACTCAAATCACGTACTTATGTAGATGATGTTTAATGATCAGCTTTAGGCATGTACCCAATGTATAAAGTCTTTAACGCGATAGGAACACACAATTCGAGTTTGACATTTTCACAAGATTCCCTGAACTCAAAATGCTCTCGTCAACGACCTTGAAATTCTTATCAGATGGACTCATCTTGTTTGGCTCCCAAATATTATTTTTTGCCTTTGGTTGGATATTTCTTGTTAAGAAGTTGTTCAAAGACTACGAATCCTCGACGGATTCGCGGTCGGAAACACTAGTGCAAGCCGTTTTTTCTTTGACTTTTAGCAACAGTTGTGCCTTGTTTGAGTTAATAATATTCGAAATAACAGACGTAATGGAGAGGGAGTAAGTTGTAATGTTTATGAAGGGTTTCTAGTGTGATCAAGCTTTTTTAATACTAATTATGTGCTTCTAGCTCGCGGTGGTTTCATTGGAAGATGACATTGTATATCCTACTAGTGTTGGTCATCATGCTTATTCCATTCTATCAATTGTATTTACTGATAACCAACGCACAAAAAAGTTAGTATCGTGTACAGCGCGCTCAGCCATAGTTATCACTTTGTTCGCTTACAAAATTTTCTACATTCGATCCAATTCCAGGTCTATCACTTCGTTATTCGTTAACGTTAACGGCAATTTGCTGGTCAATTTACTTTTACTCTTTTTGGCAAGTCGGCGGCCTATTTCCGATTGAGAAAAATTCTACTTCTGACAAGAGTAAGTATTTTCTCTTGTAGCGAAATACAGTAAAAAATGAGGGACTGATTGTGATACGGATTAATCAAAACGAAATAGCACTTTTATCTATTAGACGATATATTGATCCAGTTTGGAATGAGTCGAGTAGGAGTCATTGGGGTTACAATTATGGCCATTTTATCGGGGTTTGGTGCTGTAAACAGTCCTTATGCTACTATGACGTTCTTTTTGAGGTAAATAATTATACAGTGAGCAAATAGCTTGATATGGATTGGATGGAAGTAACCTTCTTTGACAAAACATGATTTAGACAAGTCACACATGCAGATATATTGGCAGCAGAGAAAAAATATCTCCAAACAATGGAACAGATAATAAGCAAGAAGAAGAGAATATTGGTTTCACAATTGAGACAAAAGGCTGGAAACGAGGTTATTTTGAATGTAATTTAACATCATAATCTCAATGCCAATGGAATGATAATATTCTCATTTTATTAAACTAGCCAAATGGCTCACGGGTTGGAGGTTTCGTGCGAAAAATGTTACATACCGTAGCTAGCGGAATAGGAATCGGAGGAGAAAGTATATTTAGTTTAACAATTGGATGCTCTGGGATTGCTTCCGCTTCTAATACGCGTCGATTGATATCGAGATTTCCCTTATCTAGGCATCAGCATGCTGAGACAAGAAATAGTCGGATTAGAGAATTTGAGTCAACAGCTGTTTCTCGATATTGATGATTTGTATCAAGAAAAGGTGTTCTATTGCTTTTTATGATCCGGTTGACATTGTTGGTCAAAGCTTTACTTATTTTGTCTTAATCATTTCTAGGATCGCCTTGAGTACTCTAAAACATGGAAGGGAAAATATTTCAATTTTCTCGGATACATATTTTCCATTTATTGTATCTACAAAATTGTTATGGTATGTCTTCTTATTTTAACAGCGCATATTTTTTTCTCAACATATTTTCATATTTGTTTCTTGTTGCATTTCCACCCGCTATGAATCGAAAAAGGCCACGATAAACATAATCTTTAGTCGCAAAGTCGGAAAAGACCCTATAAGCAATGGATTAGCACTGGCAATCAATTACATCAACATTGAGCTAGACGTTAGTTTCTGGTCTCAGCAATTGAGTTTCTTCTTTGTAGGTCTATTGATTATTTTCAGTATTCGTGGATTATTAATTCAATTACTGAAGGTAATGAACACATAAAATATCATATATACACCGTAAAGTCCGGTTTAACCAAGGTCCAGTTTAACGAAGATGGGTTAGGGTTAGGGTTTGGCTTTATAACGGCGCCGCCGTACGGCATCGGCGGATCGATACAGTTTATAAGCCTTTTATTCCGGCCGCGGCATTAACGAAGCCAGGCGATGGAATGGAGCACTTCGTTAAACCGGACTTTACTGTTTGCAATTGTGATTTTGGGAGTGAGGACTGATTCATATCTTTTTTTTTTCTGCTTTAGTTTTTCAGGGCCGTGTCCAACTCAGTATCCAGAAGCAACATTGTCTTGTTTCTTGCTCAGATAATGGGAATGTATTTTCTAAGTTCAGTGCTTATGATGCGTTTGAACCTTCCCGATGAATACAGGTAAGACAATTCAAAAACATCGATGTTTTAGCTCATATACAATTTCTTTTTAAACTTTTTGATGCCGATGACTTTTTTTCTCGCTGCCCGACGTCAGAACCATAATATCTGATGTTTTGGGATCAATAGAATTCAGTTTTTACCACCATTGGTTCGATGTTATCTTCCTAGTTAGTGGTATAGTGAGCATGGTATTTTTGTATTTCGTTCATCAAGCAAACAAAAGTAATGCTATGTTGTCGCGCGCTGTAACGTCTCAAGGAGAATTGTCTCCACTCACTGGTGGGAGTAATGCATCTAACGGTCAGAGGACTGGCTATGATGACCATTATACTACTTCGAGACGAAACGGTGTCAATGGTGGGTTGTATTTCCGAGGATAGGGAAGAGTATTGTATTAATAGATTAATGGTCGCAGTAATGAAAAGAACTGATAATGTAGCAGACGCATGTATTATATAATTGTATTTCTGCATCAATAAACATTAAGAAGAGACCGTCGGTTTGGTGAGAAGTCAATTCATGGATCAAGTTAATGTTAGTATCTCTAATGATAATAATAAGCAACAACCAGAAAAGAAGACAACTTCGGAATTTATTGTCCCAGTCAATCGCGCGTTCAAAAGTAATGGAATATAATTCCCCCAGTAGTGCTATCATTGAACATAGGTAAGCAGACGGGTTTGCAGATTAAAGACCGAATTCTCTTCAGTAATTTACAAAATATCGTTGCAAATGATAACGCAATAGGAATTACAAGAGGAAGAAAAAAAGAAAGAAGAGGAAAGACAGAAATAGGAATAATTAAATCTACTTTTCCATGAAGCTACACACTCCTACCTGACATAATACAGTGCTCAATAGGTGAAACGCGTAGCAATAGAAATCGTCTATCATCTATATATTTACGACAATGTGACCTGATCGCATCACAGGCATTCAATTCAGAAAAAATTTTTTTGCCATTAGACGCGGTAAGTTCTTGTGAGGTATTCAATATTATTACTTTCCGAGAAGAACTACAATATGTAAGAAATTATCCGGATAACATAAATTCTGAGAGGCCTCGACGATAGGTACCGTCAGGGACGAAATGACTCCATGAATCACTGGTGCAGCATCGGTGCTACTATCATTTGTTGTGGGCGATGGAAACAAGTCTGGGAGTACCCGATGAAGCACAGCACCCAACGATAATACCTTCCCTTCAAGTGGAGCGAATTAGGATTCAATTGAAATGGATTATAACTAATATAGAATGCCGCAAGAATGAAACTCACCGTCTTCGCTCAATGGCGAAATAGGTTCCTGTATGACAGGGCAATTATCAGGCAAATAAATTCGCAGAGGAATGTGCCTAGGTACCTGTCCATCATTCATAACAAGACGATAATTTATACTCCAGAAGCGATCGTAGTCTCCTGTGCATTGATACGTAAGAATGGCCTGGTTAAGGTATTGTAACATCTTACGAGAGAGAAGGCTATCTTCAATAAACTGCGGTTAAAAACTACACGATATGTTTGCATGAGAACATGCAAACCCGTCTGTAGTAAATAGGATACTGGACCACAATCCATCCCAAAGCTGTACTTGATCATTCTTTGACAGGTTCATTACTTTCTTTGTGCTGCCATTCCTTAGAAAATCCGCTTCTTTGATCATCGACATGAAGAAATCCTGTGTAGCATCGATAGCCTGTGCACGGATTAGTTTATCTGCAGGAAAGTTTTTAAAGTGTACGGTTACAGGCCATGGTAAAGGTGGTGGACTATTAGAGTCAGGTCTATAGCCAGTGTGCAGATCAAACAACAGCCCTATTGGATAATGCCTTGAAGATAAAAAGACGGTAGAAATCAAGTAAATAATCGGGTAATAATATGATAGAAAATGGCTGTTATACTTACCACTTCAACGGCGTCCCGTCCACATCATACCAAATCTCTGCGTCGTCTCCAATGAATTGTAACGACAAATCAGTAAAGTATTTTCTTATTTGACTGGTTAACAACGGGAAATATGAACACCGTGGAGCCTCTATCTACACGTGCAAACAAGAGATCAGGAATGATAACTCTTAACCCTGTAACTGGTAAATAGACAGCTTACAAAATATGGTTCTATTATTGTATTTGCGCCCGCTGCGTCAGCTTCCCCAGCGTCAAGAGAAAATTTTATTGGAAGAGCACCGTCCCAAATAGCTCTGGTGATAGGATTCTGAGGTGCTGTCATGTCCACGCCTGCTGTGACAAGCTATGTATTATTACATATCGAGCGGCAGATAAAAATAGGCGAAGTAGGGTAAAAGCAGTTTTCTCCGACGGCACATCTTGCCAAAATTGAGCAATCGGTGCAACCATAAACCACAGTGTCTTACTTTACAAGCTTCTGGGTTTAGTCATAAATCGTTATCATTACGTCGAGTGTTGCTCATACCTGTTAGTTAATTCATGCAGCATGTCGGTGTCGGTCGAAGATATTGAAAAATATTTGGCAAACACTCTAAATAATACCTTAAATAGCACCCTAAATTCTTTGGGAAAGAGGAAAGGAACAGACGAGGACGACAGTTTAAATGAAACGAGGAAAAAGGCTCCACGACTAGAGGAAATCCCAGCAGATGTTATCCTGATTGACGACAAGGAAGAGGAAACTGAACCGGTGATAACTGATAGCAAGATTTTGACCAGGCCAGTGCTGGAATTACATGACGAACTATGGTTCTGTCAAGCCTCTAGGTATGAAATCTGGAGATTCGAAAGCAACAACAAAAGGCTCTTACAACGGCTATATTGTGACCTAGTGAGTAGTTATACTCACTGTCAGCACCTTTACTTATGTTTGTAGAACAATAGCTTGGTCACCACAAGGAATGATTGCTTGGGTTTCACATGAAAATAACTCCAAAGGCATTGCTGTAATTAAAGCTCGCAGACAGTCCAGACACGGTAGAAACTATGGCGGTGTCACTGGTTACTCTTTTAATGAGAAAGAGAATAACCAGACATTACTGGGTACATTGAAGTACTCTGCTAAGCCATCGTTCACTATCCCTACTGAAAAGCATCATAGTAATATCCGTAACATTACAAACATAGTATTCAACCAGACCGGCAATTGTCTGGCATCTATTGACAAAGCAGGTGTATTGGTGCTATGGATTATGGAAGATTGTATCAACAATTGGACATGTCTGTGGGAAGATAAATTTGACGAGCCAATTGTGGCTTTCTGTTGGCTTCCTAGTGAACGAGTGGTAAGCAATATGTCATAATATGTAGAGAGTAAGCTGATTAGGTGCTGTTTGCTTACTAAGAACTAATACAGGGAAATTGTTTTTCTATGGGGTGGGCGTCATTGCTTGCTTTTCTTGACTTTTGATAGTGGGAAACACGAAAGAATGATCAAGGAGAAATTTCATACAAGAGAGCTGCACTGAGAGGACCTAAAAATGGGTTTGGTAAATTGGCTTTTGTAGTACTCACTTCAAGCGGAAAAGTAAGAAACTACGACGTATTACGGTCGAATTCAGCAGACTCTGTCCAATAGGTTATTAAAAACTATACTTCTTGTAATTAGATTACCGTGTGGTATCAGCGTGAGAGAAAGACATTCTTGAAGATAGTTCCCCAAATAACAATGCCGCTGAGCAGTATAAACGCATGGAGTGGGCAAATAAATCGTATATCGCATGCTGATATTCTTGTAAACAAAGGTAAGATAAACTCTAGTGATTCCTAAGACTTTGAAACGGCTTATGCTGACTTTATGCAAATAATTACACGTACATAAGATGGTCGGATTCTATTAATGACTCACAGTGCTAATGCCGTACCGCGAGTTGTAAAAGTTTTTGAACTTGCAATTGATTTACTGCGGCTCAACGTTGAATGTCTTGTCACAACGACTATTCAACCAACGATAACTGAAAGTGGGGGCGCTATACACGATCCATTTATTCACGTCAAATTGTTACCAGCAACTGAAAATAATCCGGATTTCAAAGTTGTTATTGTTTCCAGCGGTAAGGAAAGTGAAGAAGGTTAGTACAGAGCATGAGCAAACAAGCATAATAATGTCAATGAAGTTTATATCTCTGAGAATCGTGTACAATTTTATCGAGTAGAAGACACAAGTGAACAGAAATATCGAAGTGACTTGTTTGTATACGGAGTATGTGAGAACAGTTCAGAAGCGCGAGAAACGAGGATGCGAAGTAATAAGGTACGTTATATAGAAAAATGCTGCCTCAAATGATAAAACCAGTTTATAATTGTACACATCTGACAAGTGTGCCTTCCTAGATAATCAAGCTCTTGGTTCATGAGAATTTTGCACAAAGGTTAATAACCACAATTTGCGAACATGACAATGAACTCCTTTTGGCGTTCAGCGACGGCTGCACTGAATTTCGAGACTGGTATGCTTTGAACACAATTCATCTTCGACGATTCACACTCAATAAACCGATTAATTTGTCTTTTACAATTAAAAAAGCGTATCTTTCAAACCGATTATCTATGAGAGCAACTCTTGCGTCAAAGCTTTTTCGAATAATCGTCTCCCGGCATTAAGTGATTGGTTACATCGTGGAAGCCGAGGTAATATCATATTGGAATACGCGGTATCTCCTAATAGATCATGGCTTGCTTGTCGATTAGCTTCTGGCAAATTGGAATTCCTTGATATTGCTGAATCGGGTCGGTTTAGACAAGCTCTGCGAACTAGCGACGGTGCGACTGTGGTTAATGTTATAGCACATACACTTATTGGTGCTCTCCTGAATAACAGAGATCATGCAGACGCTGAGAATATTGTCCGTCGTGCGTCCCGTTTGGAGGAAGGTGAATATAACATAAGAATAATGGGCATACAGAATATCTGTGATGAGGAATGCAGTACTTACGTTTTGTTCTCTAGATTTTGTGGAACAGGTGTTGACGGAAATGTTCAATCATATTGAAAAGTTGATTCCAAAAAATCTTCATTATCTGTATAAATCGGAATTTGCTCATAAACTGCTAGGTGTTCAGATATCACTTCTCAAGTGTCGTGGGAGAGAGAGAATAATTAATGACATTCAATTCATAAATACATGGGCCTTGATGCAGTTGTATGGTGTAAATTCGGCTATGCATTGTCGACCGGTTGATACTGACTATTCTAACGGTATTACAGCTTGTTTGCATCCAGCAAGTTTTTTGTCGGCAAACTGCTCACATGATTTGTTCAATTCTATAGCTGGTATTCTCGTATACAGGACGTTGGCCGACATGACTGACTGGTTCATGGCGTTTACTACTACTATTGTAAAAGATCTTTATGTGTATTTTATGACTGAAGAACCAAACCGCGATATAAGTAAGTTATCATTTATTTATCTTATGAGACTGATATAGATGATAATACTAAGAGGTTTCTTCGATACAAATGGTGTTACTGCAGCTACGGAAAAGTCTCACTTGCCATTGCTGTACAATACAGCAGCACGAATGTCCATAAAGAATATAATCACATCTATAAAGGAAGTGAGACGCGACATTGAGAAGTTAGCGAGCGAACATTCAGAAATGTCTCAATTCAGGGATGTAAAGAAACAACTTGATTTCGGACTCAAGTCAAGCAGTGTCCCTTTTGAAGCCTTTGAGAACCTACTTGACTTAATAACTCCGATAATTAATAGTGGTCTATCAGGTAAATATATGACCGCAATAAAGGTCCTAGGCAGTAAAAAAAGCCGGGTTAGTTAATATATAAGACGTCTTGCAAAAATACTAACGTTCGACATCTTCTTAGGTTTGAACGACGATGAGCGCAGACGCGTAGAGTATTCAGTAGTACTACGAGCTGTTCTTCCGGAATTTCTTCATAAGGACTTGAACGAAATCAAGGCCATATTTCGTGAGTTTATCAATCAAATTAATCCTGAGAAATTATACTTCTCGGAATTAAACTGGTTACGGCATGCTGATGTCGTTCGGAAGTCAAAAATAAAAAATAAAACTCGGCCATGTACCCACTACACCCTCGGATCTTGCTGCCGTACTCTTGCGTCATCCGGGTTCGCCGGTTACTGGGTCCGATTAATGAGCAACGTTAGTTTGAAGTGAAATTTAGTAGACTTTGCCTGTTGTCAATTCGACGAGAGAGGGCTGGGATAATTGTCAGTGTTGTAAATTCGCTTTTGGGCATGAGATCGTATTCTTTTTTTATTGGGCTCGTCGGATTGATATATATACATATATATATACATATATCTCTTTAGCAACAATCCGGGCCTCCGGTTTTGTTGGTTTTTCTTTTGTGTAATTTCATATAGACAATTTAATGTTAACATACACTCGCTGGACGGATATTTGTCGACAAGGTCATAATAATAAATAATATGGCAATGCACTAATAGTAATAAAATTTTCTGACAAACTTTATAACAGCAGTCAGAAATTAACGAAATCTCGACTTGATTGCTGTGATGTAATCCATTGCTAAGCGTTGTCCATAATTGTTAAAGCCCCTCTTCCTCGCTTTTTTCTCAAGGCCATGCGTTATAGTTAGGGATGACACTATGAAAGCATTAAAGCCCAACCATTTTTCTACGAGTTTGGTAATAAGAATTGTAGATCAACGCGTAAAGTAACCGAATCCCAAATTTCGAATACAACATTATTCAAGGTACAGTATCAGACAATTCAGGATTGATATTTGGTTGTTGTTGTTTTTTTATTGAATAGCAGTAAAGAACGCGAGAAACGTGGTCTCGCGATTATCAAAACCAATTAGCTATTTCGAAATATTTCTTATTTGGGTGTTTGTGAAAATCATATTCGCACGCGTACAAAGTCCTTTATTTGTTCTGTTCCTGATGTATATCCATGTCGTTCATTAAATTCGTTAATTGAATCTGTTGCTCTCTTTCTTGCCGCAATGCCTGTATTATCAACAGGTTTCGAAACAAAGTCAAGTACACTCTTTAAATTAATTCATACTATGTAATGTGATGGCTCCATTCAACAAGAACATACCCGCTCACGTATTAATCTTTCCATTTCAGGTTGATATTCCCTACATAAAATTCAAGAAGGCTGTAAGCTTAAGCAGAGACTTATAAAGCATAACAGATAAAAGTTCGATATGGCGTACGTTTTGTATTCCTTAACCGCCTCATCAACAGCAGCAAAGAATTCTTCCATGCCTTCACCAGTCACAGCCGAAACACCAACCACCTGCCAAATATGATAGTAAAATTGTCGAGGATTAAAAATCTTTAAACGAAATAAAAATCCGGATATATAACTTGCTTACTCTCAGATGTTGATAGAATTCATCAAGAACTAAACTCATCGAGTTCATCAAACTGCTCATATAACTGGTATCATTTTTCAAAGCTTGCTGAAAAGTTTCAAAATCAGTCATCCATTGGACTGCAAATTCATGAGATACCACATCGATTTTGTTAAACACTAGGACAAACGGGAGTTTGGTCTTGTACAAAATGCTGAAAACTGCAGTTAATCGATTTGAAACGAGAAAATTATGTTTACTCGGAAACATACAATAGCACGTACCTGCATGCATACAGCATGTTACTCATAAATGTTGCCGGATTTGTGGTTCGGGGTGTGTCTATAATATAGGCTACTGCGCATGGATAAGTAGCCGCTAAGGCATCAGTGATGATTGCTCCTGATGCTGACCATGTAAAAATCTCTATTTGACCCGGCGTATCCAGGAGTATGTAGCTACCCAACAATAGAAAACGAGTTGAACGAAAAGAATATAACATGAGAAAACGGCCGAGTCTTGAATGACTTACTCGAGTGTTGGGGCGCGTTTGGCAATGAGACCTAGCACCTGATCAAACTTCGTCGTAAATAAATTTAAACTAGTCAGAATTCCTCCATTCGGCCCTAAATTATATCTGGGATTTTGAATGGCTATTAGAGCGACCATAAAATGATATACAAGCCATTTCAATAGCTGCTTACTGTTTCATTACTTCTTTGTAATTTATTGTGTCACGAATGTCTATATTCGCCGTGAATGGTAAGTGAGTTACTGCCGGGTCGAGATTTATAACATACGGAGGTTTTCCTTGGCCATGAAGAAACGCGTTGGTCCTCTGCGGAACGAAAGCATCAGGCTCAGTATGAATGCAGGACACTGACGAATGTCTCCTTTACTGCACCTGCATAAAGGTCGTCTTGCCCGATCCAGCCATGCCTATACAGAATATAACAGTAGGCTGTTTGTGTGACGGCGGGACACTCGCGGAGGTCGATGTCGAAGCCATGGCGCTTACTACGAAAATATGAAAAAGTCTCTTGGAAATATAGTGATCAATCTACATTGGGCAATTCCATATTTGGAAATTGCTGAATGCTTTAATATTAATATTAATATTCATAATCTAAACATCCGAACTAGTCGTTTCATGTCCTTTGGCTTTAATCGAGCCTTTTTAACTATTCTTCTGTTCATCACCTTTTGAAGTCAGTTCGGGCGATTCGCTTTTCAACAATTTCTCAATTAAGCAGAAGAATCAACTTTATCGCAATTGCAATAATAATAATCACAATGATACAAACCCAAATCATAAAACTCCCACCATCAATAGGCAATATACAATGCAATAAAGCCGAATCAACTTTTTAAAACATGAATTGGATTATTACAAGGCCGAAATTATGTAAATCTCGTGATGATAGTCTGTGATATTTTTGGGCTTGCCAAAATTTTTTGCATTTTCCCTTCCAGTTTGGCAGTAAAATGGAAGGCGCGCAGGATGCTTCTCAGGTAGATCAGCAGCCCGATTCGAAAGAGGATGTCACTCAACAACAACCGGAGCAATCACTAGAAGAAATAGCGCAGAAAGATCAACAAACACAGCAACAACAGGCACAACAGGAACGGGTCCAACAACAGAAGCCACAAAAGCAAGATCTTCAGCAACAGTATCACTACCAACATCACCAGCATCATCAACAGTCACGGACACAACCTGAGAAAAGTATACCATTATCTTCTCAGTCTCCTTTGGGACCTATCCGCGCTTCTCTTCCACCTGGCTGGACTGAACACCGAGCTCCAAATGGGCTCTTTTACTATTACAATGCAGCAACGGGACAGAGCACCTGGGAAAGACCTATTACTGTATTTCCTCCACCTCCACCAATATTAGGAGGGCCCCCTATGGGACCGCCTCCAATAGGACTCCTACCTCCAGGATTCAATCTCTCACCATTTCAATCCATGTCCGGCGTCATGCCTATGCCCGTGCAGCAATCTCATTTACATCCCGTTCAAGGTTTTGTTCAACCAACAAATCAGCAGGCTTATGTCAGGAAGGACAAAAAAAAGGAGAAGAAGAAAGAAAAGGCTAGAGGAAAGAATGTATCTATGTTCGTCGGTCATTCCTCTATATCGTAGATTTATTGGTTTAATTGATAATTCCCTATTCTTGATCATACAGACGTCAGATACCCGGTACAAGTTGGTATATCGTGTCTACTACAGAAGGCAACGAATTCTACTACAATTCAGATACCAAGCAGTCTGTATGGGAACCTCCTGAAGAAATAAAAGAGCCATTGAAAATCTTCAAAGAACAGGAAAGATTGGCTGAGGAAGCTGATAATAAAGCAAGTGATTCTGCCAACACTAAAAGAAAAGTAGATGATAGTGGAGACAGAAGTAGTGAAGAAATGAACAAAAGACATAGGAGTAGTGATGAGGAAGGATTTGAGGGTACAGAGTAAGTTTAGGTCTTAAATTTTAGGATTATTTTTACATGAGAGACTAATGACTTATTGCTTAGGTTGACAGAGGACGATATTGCATTTCAACTTCAATTTGCAGAAGAGCAAGAGCAACAGTCATTGCTCAATGAAGGTGCATATATACAAAATGTTGGAAGTGGTAGCACAAGTGCAAATAATGAAAATACAGCAAAGAATGATAATCAGAACCTCAGGGAAGCTGAATTAACAAACGAAGAGAGATCAATCCTGTTCAAGGTACCCAAGTTAGACTTTTAGGCGTCGGGCGGTTTAATTTGATATTGATTTTTCTTGTTTTACCAATCAGAGTTTGTTAAGGGATATGAATGTTTCGCCATTTGCCGTTTGGGAAAAGGAACTACCAAGGATTATACATGATCCGAGATACACATGTACGAAAGTAACTTCTTGTTTATTGTACGCAACGTAGTTTTATTTGGTATTAATTAGTTGATATTTTAAAGTGATCGCAACTTTGAAGCAAAGAAAGGAATTATTTGACGAATATTGCAAAGAAAGAGTTGTTGAACTAAGAGAGGAAAAGAAGAACAAAGCCAAAGTAAGCAATAATAGTGCAATCCACGTTTAAAGGTTTCTTCCATACCTATTAATATTCAAAGTTGCTGTCGTGTATAATTGTAGAATCAGCCGCCTAAGGAGGAGTATGAGCTACTCTTGAAGGAAGAAGTCACTCACCGGTCACACTGGGATGAGTTCAAGTGGAAATTCAAACGAGATCCAAGATTCAAAAATTTTTCTGACGATAAGGCGAGGGAAAGGATGTTTCGTGATTATGTAAAAGAATTAAAAGCTAGAGAATCCGAGCGTGCGTATACGACAACGGAATATTAGTTTGTATGTTTGCACGAAAAACGAAGTGACCACAATGCTTGTTTGATTCCGTTAGGTAGACGAGCTCAACAGAAAAAGGCAGAGGAAAAGTTTGTGGAGCTGTTGCGGGAGACGAGAGAAATTAAATCTGATTCAAGCTGGCGGAAAGTAAGTATTGGGAACTTGCTAGGGGACGTGCATATGATTGTTGCATTTATAACTTCTTTCTTGTTATTTTGCAGATCAAGCGCTTAATCGATGATGACCCTAGATATGATGCTATAGACTCTTCAAGTGATAGAGAGCAACTATTCAGAGATTATTGCAAGAAACTTGAAGCTGAAGATGAAGAGGAAGCAGCCAGAAAAGAGCAAGCACGAAAGCAAAGGGAAAAAAGAGCAAGGTAACAGAAATAAAGTCGAAGCAATCGGTTTATTTTGGTGACTATCTTATTCACCTTATCTTTCATATTAGGGAGGAGGCCAGTCTGAGGGACCGAGAAGCAAAGGTGCGTAAAGAGATGAGGCGTCGCAACAGAGATAAGGAATATGCTATGAAAAGCGCAATGCGAGAAGAAGCTGTGCGTACTTTCCAAACATTGTTGATAGATCTAGTGAGGACGCATGAGGTACAGTTAATTTGCATCTCCAAATTACGCCAATTTATTCGCAAGATTAATTTTCGCGTCATTATAGGCTAAGTGGGAGGATAAGAGACCAGATTTGGAGCGAGATTCGAGATTTCACAGTGAAGCTCTTTCCCTTGATGACAAGTTAAAACTCTACGACGAGCATATCAACGATCTTAAACTAAAAAGACTGAAACAATTCCATGAGCTTCTCGATAAGCATGTAAAATTAGATACAACATGGATTGAGCTTTTGCCGATTGTTAAAGAGGATCCGCGAGCAGTAAGACTCTCCAAAAATGAATCAGTATTAGAAGAGTACTTTGATGCCTATTTAGAGGCAAGAATTAACAAGGCAAAAGAAGAATCTAAAGAATTGTCGAAGGAAATAAGTTTATAAAAGATTAAGATTTATATTAGACTAAGACCAAGTGTAATACTTTGCTAATTGCCTGACCATTAAACCATTGGGACGATACATTAATTCTATCCATTTATGTTGGATAAGGACACGTGCTCGCATCTTTTTTTTTCCGACTTCCCTTGCTCGTTTAAGCATTTGATATTCATAACTATCGTCGAATGTACGGGGGGGTTGATTTTTGAAAAATCTTCATACTTTAATTCATAGTATTTATTACCAATACATGAAGATTTCCAATGTTTCTCATTATCAGTAAATACACAAATTCAAGTACAAGTGCTATTTCTTCTGAAATAAAAAACGAGCGTTACAAATTGTAACGCAAGAAAAAATTTCGACCAGAACATCATATACAGGGTTTTGCAAAAAAAGTCGGACAAATAAAACTGCTTGTTACCCAATAATGTAATATAGTCTGACGGTTAGTTTCTTTTTCAACGGCGGACATTTTTAAGCTAAATTGAAGGAAAAGTAACAAGCAATTTGAAAGCGTAAACAAGGTAAAAGATAGTGCTTTCGATGCAGTATCAGTTGCATTTGACGCGACGTGAATTGGGTTTATTCTGGGCAAGTTACACATGTACAGATGTCAGAATGTATTACATGTATTATTATTTTTCCGATGTACAGTCCCTGGCGAAAATAATGGCGGCCAGTATTTTTTTAATATATCAATTTTGTTCTTATTATTTTTAAAAAAATTTTTATTTATCAAAAAAACCAAGATGAAAAGTAGATCTATATTAATTTAAACCTAATATGGTCCGGTGCAAAAAGATAGATACCTCAGATTATTGCAAATAAATTTTTTAAGAAAAATTTTTTCTAAAATCTG